GTATTAAAACAATTAAAGACCTGAAATATTTCAGTTGGTGTGCAATGAATCTGAAATATATGAAAGTTTCATTTTTATCATTACAGTATGGAAAATAATGACCTTTATCACAATATGCAAATTTTTTGAGAAGGACCTGTACAGCAACAGTAATTATGCCCCTTTTCCATTAGTACCGGTACGGGCCGGTACAGCCCGGCTCTACTCTACTCGGTACGGTACAGGTTGTGTTTCCATTATGCTTTCAGTACCGGTTCCAGTGGGCGGGGTTCAAATTGACGTCACCACCTCTCACCAGCTGGTGGCGCTGAGACGCAGAAACTGTTTTCTGTACAGGTTGAGAATTTATGTTATTTTGAAGTTGTGTGTATGTATGTATGCATGTATGTGTGTATGCATGTATACATGTGTATAAATATATACATATATACACACATATATATATATATATATATATATATATACACACACACACACATATATATATATATCATATGTGATATATATATATCACATATGTATATACACACAATTATGTATATAAATGTATATATATACACATATGTATTTATCTATATTTATTTATAGATATAAATATATATGTATATAAATTACATATATATGTATTTATATATGTACATATATATTTATCTATATTTATTTATAGATATAAATATATATATATATGTATATAAATTAAAACTCTGATGAACCAGATTCTACAAAAACATTACATTTAAATTTTTATAGGTTTTCATCATCATTTGATGTATTTGCACTCATTGTGTCTACTTTTAATGTTCATTTTAAATGTGTGGTTTTCTTTCTTGTTCACATATTTACATTTTATTTTTAGCTTTGCTTTAAAGTTCTTGTTTTGTGATTTGTACATTTGTGGGTTAAAATAAAGTTGAACTGAAGGTCGTCTTTTCTTTAAACATGTTTGAGGGAAATATTCCTGATATCCAATAGTTTTGTGTCTTTTTATGATTTTCAGCTGAGTTAACAGTCATTAAAGTGAAAACAGGATTTCACGATGAAGCTGGCACCGTCTTTTTTTTTTTTTTTTTAAATCTTCAACGCTCTGCTGGTCTCGCGCGACACTGCCCGCAGTCACACGATCCTCTCCTCCGGAGAGGAGGAGGCTGGGAGGCTCATCCTCCCAGCTCCAGCTCAGCTGGTGACTCCAGAGGCCGTTCCAAGACTCCAGCCGCGCGTAATCATGAAGGTCCGACCCGCGCAGACAGGCGGGCAGAGACAGGTCTGCGACGAACGGTGGAAGCGATTTTTAAAAACCTTTTACGTGTAAAAAAAAAAAAATCATTTTTAAATCGCTTCAGCAATTTTTTAAAACATTTTTTGTATAAAAACAAAATATTATTTTATTTAAAAATCGCTTCCAGCGTCCGTCCCAGACTGTCCAGTCCGCCTGGCTGCCGGGTGGGATCGGGATTCAGCCTTCATGATTACGCGCGGCCGGGGTCTGGCCACGTCCATCTGTGAGTCCCCATCTCCAGCTTCGCAGTGACCTGCGGAGCTCTGAGCACACAAGGCTGGTATCTGGAACCCGAGCATCCGAGTCGGCACATCGAAGGATCTTCCGCGGTGACCAGCTGAACTTGGAGCCGGGGAGATGACGCCCTGCCCGGTCTGGCGCTCCGAGGCTCCGGAGGGAGGATCGGGGTAGACCAGCAGAGCTCCATCCAGCTTGCTCTGAATTATGTTGTCGGCCACCAAGCACAAAAAATGCCAGCACATCAACATTAGACCAAGATGTTGTCAGTATTGTTTTTAAAATCTTTAAAATAAGTCCAGGCTGCTCCAGTCCGAGAAATTGCAAATGGCGGATTATTGTTTTGAAAGTTTCTGAAGGATCCAGTGACTCCGCCCCCGACCAATCAGTGACCGACAGTGTACTGATGTCACGTTTTTGTACCTCTTCGTACCGGTTAGAACCACAGAGCCAAGGGTACTGAAAATAGTAACAGGTGCTAAGTACCGGTACTAATGGAAAAGCCTCAGAACCGGGCCAAGTAGGGTCGAGTCGGCCCGTACCGTTACTAATGGAAAAGGGGCATTAGAGAGACAGGTAGGAAGGTACTTGGTGTGTCATCTGGACAGAGAATGGATGATAAGGAAACCTGGTGGTGGAATAGTGAAGTGCAGGATGCTGTTCAAAGAAAGAGATTAGCCAAGAAGAAATATGACAGTGAGAGGACTGAAGAGAGGGGACAGGAGATGCAACATAGAGCAAAGAGGGAGGTAGCAAAGCAAAGCAGAGGGCGTACGATGAGTTGTATGTGAGACTGGACACTAAAGAGGGCGAGAAGGACTTGTACCGATTGGCAAGACAGAGGGATCAGTCTGGAAAGGATGTGCAGCAGGTTAGGCTTGTTAAAGATAGGAATGGTAATGTTCTAACAAGTGAGGAGAGTGTGACGGGAAGATGGAAGGAGTACTTTGAGGAGCTAATGAATAAAGAGAATGAAAGAGAAGGAAGAGTAGAGGTCATAGAAACTGTGGACCAGGAAGTGGGAAAGATTAGTGAGGGTGAAGTCTGTAAAGCTCTTAAAAGAATGAAGATGGGGAAGGCAGTAGGACCTGATGACATACCAGTGGAGGTTTGGAAATGGCTTGGAGATGGCAGTGAGGTTTTTGACTCAAATATTCAATGGCATATTTGAGGGTGAGAAAATGCCTGAGGAATGGAGAAGTGTGCTGTGCCCATTTTTAAGAACAAGGGTGATGTACAGAGTTGTAGCAACTACAGGGGAATTAAGTTCAGTGTTGGTGCTAAGATGGCCTCTGGGGCACGCCCTCTCCTCCAGTGCCTACTCTCTTCCTCGTCAACAGTCATGCCAAACTGGATCAAAACACCAAAGCCCATGCTCAATAATCCAGGTATAAAATCCAACAATATTCAGTCAGGTCATCTGGACAGTTTCTTTATTGTGATGAGACGTTTTCATCTCAGACGTTTGGTGTTTTGAACCAGTTTGACATGACTGTCAACAAAGCAAAGCAAAAGGAGAAATCCCACACAAGAAAGGCTCAAGAGCAATGTGGATATCCTAACTGGGCCTTCATGAAAGCAGAGAAGAAACCTAAACAGGACTCCAGCCAGCCATCAGGTGAAAAGGAGGAACCCAGACCAGTGGTCATTCCGTATGTTGCGGAATGTATAAGTGATAACCATAACATAAGCTAAAACTGGAGAAATATGATCTATCCTACCATCTCTCATTAAAACTCTGGCAGCAGCATTTTGGATCAACTTAAAACCTTTCTAAAAAGTTTTTGGACACCCAGATAATAAACAATTGCAATAGTCCAGCTTAGACATGACAAATGCATGGACCAGTTTTTCTGCATCTTTTTTTATGTTTTCATGTTTTTGTTTTAACCTTTTTTTTTCACCTACAATGCACATCCACAGTATGGGTGTGACCATAACACACTTGTGGAGTTTTCTGTGTTGCTGCCTTGCCATTGTGCCATCCTGCCATCGTGGTTCAGTCTTTCCAGCCTCGGGCTCAGGCTTGTCATGGCGGCTGTCTCCATGATCCTCCATCGGCCTGCACAAATCGAACTCTACGGACCCGTTCGGTTCTGCGGGGAAACTTGGATGTTCTCCGTCTGCTGGACCCGGTTCTGGAGGGCTGGCTGGGAGGCAGCTGCTGCAGTCCTTATTATTATCATGCTGCTGAAGGGACCTGCTAACTAGACCTGCCAACACTGCTAACAACATCATGCCGTTAACCGAACCTCACTGCTAACAGTATCATGCTGCTAACTGGACCATGTTGCTAAGAGAACCTCACTGTCATCAGTACCGCTCTGCGAATAGGACCATGCTGCTGTAAATTTATTTCTTTTTCACTTTGGGTGCCTTGTTTCTGTATTTCTGTTGCATGCTTTGAATAAATCCTAGGTTATGTTAGTTTAGTTTGTTAGTTTAGTTTATGTTAGTGCTCGCATTAAGCATGTAAATTATAGCCTAACAGAATCTATAAGAATTGTGCTGCTGTTATTTGGTGTCCTGTTTTGTACTAGTAGTGACTGGCATATATCTGACCTTTTAGCGTTTTTACCGTTTGGCGTTCGTTTAGCGTATATCTTAGTTTATATCTCAGATCCTTATTTATGGTTTCTTTTTACACTTTATATTTTTGCTATTGTTGGATGTAACTGAGACCCTGTGTACACACGTTCATTCCAATACATGTACCACATGTGATGCGAATGACAAAGAAACTCTGCCTCTCTGACTCTGATGTTGGTGCTGCTGTTCAGCGTATTGTTTTTATGCTTTTAGTGATTAGTGTATTTTTAGTTGATGTTTTTCGTAGTTCATATCTTTGATCTTATTACTGTTTTTCTTTTACATTTTATTGTTGGATGTAACTGGGACCCTGTGTACAAAATTTTGTTCCACTACATGTAGCATATGTGGTGCAAATGACAAATGAAATTCTGACTCTGAAATAGACAAGAACTATTTAAAACAAACAAAAATCTTTATTTTTCAAAAAGCAAAAAATTAAATAAATCTATGTTCAGAAATATGTCCAAGCTTTTATCACAAAGTGTAACTCATCTTACTCTTTAATATTTAAAAAATAAATGGTCATACTGATGAATGATTCCTACGAGAAGGCAGATCTGAGATGTTCTGTTCCTCCTAAAGTGGCTTATCTCTCCACTAATCTTTTCCTTCACACTACATTGGATTACACTGTGCTATGTTTTTAATTAAAAAGATTGCTGCTTGTTTCCATCTCCTGAAATTAAATATTCAGAATAATCTTCCACACATGAAAATGATGAGTGGCAAGCTGCAGTCACTGTGCTGTATTTTTGTTATGTTTTTGTGTTGTTTTGTGCGCCATGAAATATGCAGAAGCTCAATGTGACTGTTGCTGATATCTTCGATAACAGGTGGACAAATGGGGAACAAAGACAAATGCCTGAAACAGAAAGTAAGAGTGGAGATGATGTACCGCTGGGCTCTCATCTCTCTTGGCTCAAAGGTCATGAGAGCATCTGAAGAGTCCCCGTCATCACTTCCTTTGACTTTCTTCTTTTCTTTTTTTTCTTCCCGTCGATACATCCTCATCATTTGTTTCTCCTTTTCTGACAGAATGGTCACCTGGCACCCATAAGCAGGCTTGGTCACTTCTCCACTGACTTTTCTGCCAACATCTGGAAGACACAAAACAAAACACAATGGACTAGCTAATTGTTTAAAGAACAAAAAAAAGACCTTAAAATAAATATTTTTCAATTTAAGACAACTGAAAGTAAATTACTCTAGAGAAATACAGACAATCAAACTTTTGTGTATCTGCCTTGTGTATCTAGGGCATACCGACACACAGCTGAACAAAAACATGTCACATCTTCACATATCTGATGCTCGATGATGTCACCAAAACTTTGTAGCTTGAATGTAGTCACTACATTCATTCAACCTTTATTTAAACAGGTTAGTCCCAGTGAGTCATGAGGACTCATTTACAAAAGAGACCTGGAGAGACGAGAGATTACATATATATATATATATATATTTTCATTTAGCCTTTATTTATCCAGGTTAGTCTCATTGAGCCACGAGAACTCATTTTCAAGAGAGACCTGTTTAGGGAGCACATGGTGGGGTTAAGGGCCTTGCTCATGGGGCCAGAGTGGGGCGAATGAGGGTGGGGGCAAGTGTGGGTGTTTCACCTACCCCACCCACAATTTTGATGTTGTCGGGGCCGGGGCGTGAACCGGCGATCTTCGGATCACAAGCCCACCTCTCTAACCTCTGCTCCACCACTCCCCCTACCACCATATACAGACCCTTTCCAAAAAATTAAAATATATATAGGTATACATATATACAAATACACAAATACATACATATGTGCATATGTACACATATATACATATACACATATACATATATATACATATATAAATGGTAAATGGACTGTGCTTATATAGCGCCTTTATATCTTATTTCAAGAAACTCATAGCGTTTTAAACTACAATCTGTGCCTCATTTACCCATTCATACAGCACTCTACTAGATCTCTACAAAGCTAATTGAACAAATCAATCTAAAGAGACTAATCAGTGCTTTATCACATTCAAACACCAATAGGACACACATCGGAAGATATGAGGGGTTCAGTGGCTTGCCCAGGGACACTTCGGCATGTGACTGCTGGTGGATTAAATCCCCCAACTCTCACATTGGCGGACGACTGCTCTAACTACTCAGCCACAGCCACATTTTTTTATAATACATATATGTATACATACATAATATATATATATATATATATATATATATATATATATATATATATATACATACACACATGTATATATATATATATAATGTATATATATATATATATACACAAATGTATATATGTATATATATATATATATATATACATGTATGTATATATATACACATGTATATATACATACATACACGTATATATACATACATACACATGCATATATAAATACATACATACACGTGTGTATATATATATATACACAGGTCCTTCTAAAAAAATTAGCATATTGTGATAAAGGTCATTATTTTCCATAATGTAATGATAAAAATGAAACTTTCATATATTTCAGATTCATTGCACACCAACTGAAATATTTCAGGTCTTTAATTGTTTTAATACTGATGATTATGGCATACAGCTCATGAAAATCCAAAATGCCTGTCCCAAAAAATTAGCATATTTCATCCCACCAATGAAAGACAAGTGTTTTTAATACAAAAAACGCCAACCTTCAAATAATCATGTTCAGTTATGCACTCAATACTTGGTC